GTTCCCCTGATCATCCTGAAGTACTGTGGAGCTTTGCTGCGTTCCCCAGGAGAGCAAATGACCTCTCCTTCCTGTGCTGGCAGGAGAGACATGGGTAGAGCGTGAGGAAGAATCTCACATCCTTTTTGAACTATTCTTAGGCTGTCCCTTGCCCTTGTTGTTTTATTTACGAATTGGTCCATATGGTATCATTGTTTATGATTACAAGCACAAGGTCCTCCATGGAATTATGGGAGTTCTCTGCAAGCTTTAAAATTCCACTGTGATATTAGTATAAAGATTTAGCAGTATAGTTATTAACAGTTCAAAAATAGAACATAGTAGGGATGGCAGAAGATTGTAATACTATAATCTAAAAATACTGGATTTCTACTCTCAGAAAAGAAAAGGAAAAATCATGGAGTAAAAGGATTATACAATGAAGATTATAAAATCTAAACATAGAAGCCGAAAAAAGCTCTAGAAGATAAAAGGCCTCCAGCTCCAGGGATAGACAATTAATATTGTGAAAATGGCCATATTACCAAAGTGGTAGTTGCATATGCAATGTCATCCTAAGAAATTCCAACAATGTTCTTCACATAAGTCAAAAAAATAAGTTTAAAGTTCTTATGAAAGCAAAAAGAACCAGTTATAGTCAAGCAGTGGTTATGGACAAAGTTACCAAAAATATGCAGTGGAGAAAAGCTAGCAACAAATAGTGCTGGTCAACTGGACTTCTACATGTAGAAAAATAAAACCAGTTCTGCTTTCACCCTGAGCAAAAATTGATCAAAATGAATCAAAGGCCTTTATATAAGACCTGAAGCTTGCAAATTAGTAGAGGAGAACGCTCGAAGATGAAGGGAAAAGGGAGTTTTGAAAAAGAATCCCAATAGCACAGAAGATGCTGAGAATGGTTCACAGATGAGATTACATGAAATTAAGGGAAATGCTGCAAGATATTGCAAAGGAAGCAATTATCAGAGCGAAGAGAGTGCCTGCAAGAATGGGAAATGGTCTTTGCTAGTTAGTCATCTGATAGGAGAATAATACCTAGAATATTATAAAGAACAAAGAATATCAATTACCAACAGAACAAACACCCAATAAATAAATCGACAAATGAACTGAGCAGACAGTTCTCAAAAGATATATAAATAGTCAGTAAATACATGAACAGTACTCAACACCTTTACCCATTAGGGGAAAAGCAACCCACTATCAAAAATAGTATCTTCCAAGGACATGAGCTCAACTATATTCATAGCAGCATTGTTTGTCGTAACCATAACATAGAAACAGCCTAAATGCCCCTCGATTGAAGAATGGGTAAGGAAAATGTGGTATATTTACACAATGGAGTACTACACAGCAGAGAAATAACCGACATCTTGAATTTTGCAGGCAAATGGATGGAGCTAGAAAACATCATTTTGAGTGAGGTAACCCAGACCCAGAAAGACAATTATCACATGTATTCATTCATAGGTGGTTTTTAAACAAAAAGCAAAGAAAACCAGCCCACAAATCACAATCCTAGAGAACCTAGACAACAATGAGGACCCTAAGAGAGACTTACATAGATCTAATCTACATGGGAAATAGAAAAAGACAAGATCTCCTGAGGAAATTGAGAGAATGGGGACCTTGGCAGAGGGTTGAAGGGGAGGGGAGAGGTAGGAAGGGGAGCAGAGAAAAATGTAAGCTCAATAAAAATCAATTAAAAAATAGTATCTTTAAGAAAATTAAGCAACTACTAACAAGAATGAAGAATGGGGGGTAAGGTAGAGAAGGGGACTTTGTGCACAATACTGGTAGAAGATAAATATAGCTAGGATGGAAATCAGAATAGGGATTTTGCCATTAAAAAGAGAAAAATTAAGGATACAAATACCATACTGTCTATTCATGTCAATATATACCCATAGGGAATCTGAGGCAGCTTGCTAAATGTGATACCTGTACATGTGTTTATCACTGTATTATCTATGGTAGACAGATTATGAAACTAGGTTAATGCTCATCAACAGATGAATAAAGAAATGTAAGAAAACACACATGCACATGCACAAATATACATGTATACATATGCACACACACAAGTGTTCTTCAGCCGTAAAGAAGAATGAAATCATATTATGCCCACTGGTGGAAAAATAGCATGACTGTTATGGAAATAATCTTCCACTTTCTGACTGGATTTAAATCCTACTCCACAAGACTGAATTCATGCTTGCTACCACCATTAAGTGATCCAAAGCCCATGGCTCAATAATAGGAGACCATTAGTATTCTTCTAAATAGACGTAGTAATATAATAACCTGCCCCTAAGTTCTACCTCACTATAGATCATTACCTCACTCAACCCTCATCAGAGAAACTTCTTTCTGCAGTGGATGATGAAAATGCAGAAACTCACAACTGCTTAGAGTACAGAAAACAGGAGACTGGAATAACCAACTCTAAATGGTATCTCTATAGCTTACTCCTACCCTCTGGATCAGGGATCATTGTGGAGTCTGCAGGGAAACAGGATTTGCTGGCTATGACACTGCATTTTCACAGATGAATACAGTGGCTATGACTGTATGCATACAACTGGCACAAGATCAACAAAAATTCTAGCATGTTTGGTGGAAAGGGCTCTTGAAATCCTGTCCTGTTGCAAGGAGAGGGCCACTTATTTGTCCCAGCCGCCAAGAACTAGAATAAAAACAAGAAACTATATTGATTAAAACACTGTTTGGCCATTTGCTCTCACTTCTTATTGGCTAACTCTTACATCTTAGTTTAGCCAATTTCTATTAAAACTGTGTATCACCACCTGGCAGTGGTTTACCAGCTAAGTTTCAGCAGCATGTCTTACTCTGGTGGCGGATCCATGGCATCTCTCTGACTCTGCCTCCTTTCTCCCAGCATGCCATTTAGTTTTCCCCGCCTACTTAAGTTCTGCACTATCAACAGTTTCTTTATTCATTAACCAATGAAAGCAACACATCAGCAGAAGGACTTCCCAGCATTTCCCCTGCTGAAGATCTGTTGGCAACTGGTGGCTGCCAGGGGACTCTATGTACTTCACTGGCGGATCCCCCGAAAGGCTGCCCATGTTCTTGTAGACGGCCCTACATCCATGTACACACAGGCAGCACTAAATGGATTCAGTGGGTCTTTTAAGAAGAGCACATAAATTTGGGAGGGAAAGTGATTGTAGGGATAAGGGAAGAATTGAAGAGGAGAGAATGGAGACGGATTTAGTCAAAATATGTTACATGCGTGTATAAGAACATCAAGCACTAAAAATGTTAATAAACAAAAAATGCATAAAAATGGAGATAACCATGTTGAGGACAGGAATGACATGTCTTCTTCACACGTGGAGTCTAGACATGAAAATAAAAGGACACTATTTGTGGAAGGGAGGCGATGTAAGAAAAGGTAATAGCGATGTGAATATTAGTATGTAGAGTGTGTAAAGTATAATGATGATGATTTTATACAATTAATATATGCTAATGTGGACTTTTTACTGTAAACCCTTAGTTAATAAGGGTGTTCCATGGAGATGTGACCTGTTTTCTTTCTAGTTTATTGTCTTAAAGGCATGATTATGTAGCTGTGAAAACAAACCAAGGGACTCCAACTTGGTCCTGGTTAGCCAAGCATATGACTTAGTGACTTCCAGAGACTCAGTTTCTGATTCTGTGAAAAGGAACTCATAGCACACGCCCCTGGGCTTGTTGGTAGGGTAAATGACATGGCATAAAGTACATGACTTTTGCTGGCCTAGTTAGGCCTCAAAACCATCTTTCTTTTACAAGCTTAGGTAAATCTTTGGAACTTAATTCCCAGGAGAAATTATATAGAGTAACTGAGTCCTTTAGGATCCTTTAAAGTGAACGTATCTGGCCATTTCCTGCACCATGGGACTATAACAGATTGGTCTCCATCTGTCCCCTAGCCAGAACACATCCTGGAAAACCACTTCAAAAGGCCCGAATTGTTCTGCCTCTCATGAAAAATATAGAAAAAAAATATTGTAACCAAGGGTTGCTTGATTTTTGTTTTTTGTAAAACTTGAATGAAGCACAAGTCATCTTTGTATTAAAATCAAACTTTTTCCCCCCCTAATACATTTCTGGTGCGCATAGCAAGAAAAGAAGTTACTTGCATGGATAAAGTCCAGATTACCTCTTTGTTGTCTTGGCCATTGGTGAATATTTATACTCTCTTTCAGCACCTGATATATAATACTCTTTGTTCTAGAGACATTATCATTTTTTTCTGTTGAATAATTTTTCCATTAACTGAACTTACTAAATCTTACTTAAAAGTAAACACTGTTAAAACGTCTTATGAAGTAAAAGAAAATGAAGTTTGGAGAGTCATGGCTGAGAGACAAAGACCTGAGAACTGAAATAGAAACCTTCAACCTTAGAACCAAGTGAATGAAGCAGCAAGAAAGCTGTCCTTGTAGCTGAAGCCCGCAGTCACGTGTGCAGTGTGGAACACACGCTGGTTATGCTGCGGCTCCAGGGAAGCTGCTCAGCTCCTGGTGCAGCATCCTCACTGCCTAGCATTGTCTTGATGATTCTGGTAGACTTCTGTCTCCCTGCACTGGGAAGCCATAAAAGACTAAGTTCTCATGGCTCTAATTTTTAGAACCTAAACTCTTGGTAGAAAACCCAGGTCCACTCTTGTGTGGAGCACTATCAGTATCCCCACTCTTGTGTGGAGCACTATCAGTATCCCCACTCTTTTGTGGAGCACTATCCACTCTTGCTTCCTTTATTTTAGCCTCACTCTTGTTCATTTTCAACAACTAAGTTTGTAGAACATTTTGACACAGTGACACCTGAGTACGTAAGGTGTCTCCTTCACTGGTTTCCTGTACCATTCTAGAACTATTTGTCCTCTTCGGGGTTCAGCTTTTCATCTGTTAGATGAGGATAATCTTAAGAGTGCTTGGAAACAGACTGAAGAGAGGACCAGGCCT